CCTCCCGCAGGGGTGGCTTCCCCCTGCCCCTGCCGCCGCCACCTCACGTTCTCTCCTTCCTCCTCCAGGTCGGCACATCGCAAATGCAAAGCCTGATCAGGGCTGAGATGAGTCCGGGGAAGTCCAGCCTGGGCACAGAGAAGAACATTCTGGTAAGTGGAGGTGGCTCAGGAGAGGAGATGTTGGCCTCCTCCCTAGGTAGACGTTTCCTTTTTCTTTGGTTGCTCCTCCTTGCGGGGCTCAGAGTGATAGGCCAAAAAGAATAAAACCATTTCCCATTTGCTGAAATGAGTTAAGTTAGTTAGCCGCCATGCAGACAACTGCTCTCCAAACAGGGGAACCAGTATCTCAGTAGAGACATTGACCCCTGGTGTGCAGCTCGGGGCATCTCTTGCAGGCAACAGGCTAGCAAGAGTGTCCAGCCCTTTGGGAACTGCGGCATCTTGGAACTCAGGAATCCAGATTCAAGCGCCCCGATAGATGGTTGTTTAGCCGCCTCTTGGATGCATCCAGTAAAGGGGACCCCCCCCCCGCCCCGGGGTCATTGGTTCCTCTCTCCAAGGGTTCTGATTTCTGGTAACATTCAGTTGGAGACTGACTTCCTGTCGCTTACGTCCATTCTTCCATGTCCTGCTCTCTGGAACAAGGCAAAGCCAATCCTGACCTTACTCCATGCAACGTTACTTTGACGTGGGTTATCGTGCCCCTCTTCGGTGGTCTTCTTTTCAGCTCCTTCGTACAGCTCAGTTGCATTGTCTTTCTCTGAACCAGTTCTAATTTCTCTCAATCCTTAGTGGCCAGAACCAGACATGGCACTCAAGGGGAGGACTGACCAAAGCAGAAATCAGTGGAACAATTATTTCCCATAATTTGGAAATTATACCTTTGTTGATGCAGCCTAAAACTGCATTTGGCTTCTTTGCAGCCACAACACACTTCTGGCTCTTATTCAGTTTGACAACTACTACTATTCTGAGAACTTTGAAATGTTACCAAGCCCGATAGTCCCATCCTCTACTGTGTATTTCATTTCTGGGTCCTAAGTGCATCATTTGCATTTTTCTTTATAAAATTTCATTTTATTACTTTCAGCCCATTTCTCTATCAATATTGTTTGGATTCTTTTGAATGTTATTCCTCTTTTCTAGGGCATCTAGCTATCTCACTCAGTTTTGTATCATCTGCAAATTTAATACTCATTCTTTCCACTTCACCATTCAAACCATTAAAAAAAAATACTGAAGAGAAGAGGGCCCCGGGGCCAATCCTTGTGACACCCCACTTGATGCATCTCTCCAATTTGATTGAGGATCCATTAATGAGCAATGCGTTCTCTCAGTAAGATTTTCAAGCCAGCTGGGTTTGCATTTAGCTGTCATGTCATCCAGCCCACACTTAACTAGCTTAGAAATCAGGAATGCTTTATCAGAATACATCATAACTGCAGCATTCCCACAACTTATTAAGCTACCCAAAAATGAGATAAGGTTAGTCTGGAAACTTGTTCTGAGAAGCTGATGCTGACTTCCAGCAATTACCGTATTGCTTTCAAGGGGCTTACAGGCTGACCTCTTTACAATCTGGTCCACATTCTTCCCAGAAATTGAAGCCAGAATGACTTGTCTGGGCTGGATCTTACTTTTCCCCCTTTTTGGAGAGAGGGCCAACATTTACCCAGAATTTCTTTAAGTTAATAAGTAATTGT